TACGATACAATTTACACAAGTTTATACACACAACAAGGACGTGTCTAGGTGTTTTGGCACCCAGAGCAATGAATACGTATACATACTATAGCAAACCAATGAAACTGGTCGCGTAACTTCTGTTTACATGTAACTTCATCGTCCATGGAACATACTATAGATATATCGAACGCGTCACAATATCGAAATCGATATTGATTCGACAAAAGTTTCGAGATTTATGTTCGCGAACGTGATCAGGCGAACACGTTGACGGAGAAAGTAACCGTACGACATTTATGTTAAACATATCTATACTAATGTTAAATGCGTTTGTTTATGTACTATGGAGTGTGAAGGGGCATGGGATTGATATAACCTACCGCGTATGTGTCACGATAATCGGTAATTCCTAAGTTTCGATTCTGTTTGGCATGTTAATTTTTACGGAAAATATATATTGACTTCAACGATCGGACGTCACTGTGATCTAGCAATGCCTCAACGGATGGTTGTAATTTTACACGTGAGTATGCGAAACTGTTTATTCCACGAGAAATTTCCTTGTAAACTGCGACGTTCAGATATGTTTCGTATAAATATCGATAGTGTGTTTGGAGAAGTGTTCGTAGAATCCCATACAGGGTGTCCGGAACAGTAAATGATACGAGGAAACATAATAAATCTTTCTTTCGTTACTTTTAACACGAAATTTCGAACATTCATTATTCCAAACGTGACCGTCTCGTATACAGAAATTTGCATCGATGAAATATAAAAAGATTCCATCGATGGCCTTTTTACGTTTCCTCGTATATTCTGTCAGCTATTTCACACTAATTATTAAACAGCGGATTTTATGCATTCATGGCGTATGCGATTGTGAAAAACATATACCAAACGTACCCAGAATAACGGCCTTATCACAAAATGTGATACCCGTAAAATATATTCGACGTGCACGTTGCATATGTTTTTCGTAACAACTCTTTGGCGGACGGTGTCTGCATACAACATACAAGATACTTTTATTGTAAACGTACATCGAGAAATTCTTTACAAAATCATCGGAAACACATCGAAGAAAGTGTGCTGTCTCGGATACAAAGTTAATTTTCACTGCGATTCCCCCGACGTCCGTCCGCAGAGTTTAACACACATAAGCTACAAATGTAAAAAATTCGCAGGCTAGCAATTTTGCGTGTAGTAGCATCAGGGTTGTATGGTAAGTGGATACGTGATGTAAAATAGGACGGATTGTTAACGAGATCCAGGTGTCAATGGGTCGTGGAAATTCGCAGGCCAAGAGTCGCCCACCGTAAACAGGAACTATGAAAATGTATTCGTTGATCTATATTCAGGGGACGCCGATTATGCGAGAGGTTGATCCGAACGCGGTCGAGTTCAATAATTATGCCCGTAATTTCTCGCGTTGCGTGTCAATTGTTCTTTGGGGGGGTTAATCGATCGTCGAATAAAAAACGACACCGATTTTACCTGCGTTCATGGCTGAAGGCGATTCGCTCCTTTTAAATTCACTTTATTCTCGTGTAATTCTCCCCAATTATGTACAAAAATATAATGAGAATCAATAATCATTACAGAGTTCGTAACATTAGGTAGGTACATGACGATGTGTGCTCTTGTCTCCTCGGCCTCGACACCTTTCACCGTTGCTAAAACAGTTTCTGAAAGTGAAAGACGATCGATCGTCGATTTTGCGTATCTGTACGCGTGCAGCGTCGTTTCGTTTTCTTTCCCCCCCCCCCCCAATCTACAAAATTGTGTGTCCGACTGATAAAATCTACGGTACTATCGTGTGTCTCGTTTTTTTTTTCTGTGTGACGCGTGCGAGAACGAAAACGAAAACTGTCTGGTCGACTCGAGAAGGGAACTCGATCAAAAGAAATGGCGGCTCGCGGCTCGAGGGGATCAATGTTGTGTGTGCTTGGAGTTTAATCTTACCCCTTCTTCGATACGCGACCGTTGCAAAAATCAGTTGGAGTGCTCCGGATTCGGTACGAGGAAACTTTGCGATTATACCGTTCGAGGGTTCTTGGGACTAGCGGCCATTTTGGGGAACAATTTCTAGGGAAGAAAGGAACACGATCCTCTGTATCGGTCTCAGGGACCTTTTGAAGATTCTATTTAAAAGAGAACCAAGGTTGTAAAGTATGCAAGGAAGTATCAATGTGGGAATTGGTTTCCCTCGAGACGGTACGAATTACAAAGGGTCCTCGGGTGAATTTTCCTTGGAAAAAACCGTGTCGCTAGATCTACTTAATAGTCGTCGAAATGTTCGTTAGAAAAGTGCACGTACTCGGCGGGGAAAAATAGCACTCGCGCGTGCACCGTTTTAGAAAAATACGAAAATTGTACATCGAGAAGCAGCCTTTTTGTACCGCGTTTAATCGAAAGGAACACGGAGAAATGGTTGCGTCGCTCGTAAACGGCGATCGCTTTTGCTGTGATAATAAAACGACAACTTTGTACAAACGCGTCGATGAAACGTTACGAAACTCTCGCTAGAATGTACTAACCGTGTGTCTACGTCGACGTGGCTTTATTGTCCTCATTGACAGACACGAGTTGGATCGACAGAACAAGTCCTTAAGCTTTTTTTCTTCTCGAAACGCAACTTAAATACTCTTTTGCGAGACTTTAACAGGTGCGTAGTTGCTGTGCCTCCTCCTCTAATGTATCTTAACAAACACGTCGGCGGTATTATCGTGCAATGAAGTACATCGGAATCTCTGTTATCCGAACACGTGTGCTCGTAAATCTCTTACGCTGTAGGAACGAATCTCAGACTAATCTGACAAACGAAAAATTACAAAAGATTTTCTCGCGTTTGCCTCGTCAGGTTCGGATAATTGAGGTTCGACGATGAAAGCGTACAAACGATTTTCGAACGATTTCGGCTTGCCCGTTCCTTCGCGAGTTCACAAGTAATGAAGAAAGTGAAAAAAAGCACGAGCGATTTTAACCGATTAATTATCACACTAGATAAGACTTCATTCGTAACTAGGAATATACATCTGTGCGGATTTTTATCAACGGAAGGGATCAGGGGGAACAACACTTTGAGCGTAGACTTCATTGCCTCGAAGATATAAAATTAGTCGCTAAATTGTAACTCGACGATCAATTCCTGTACACTTTTGGAACAAGCGACAAAGGACCCGGGGATCCTTGCTCGTCCGGCGAAAAAAAAAGAAATTAAAACAACGGAAAATGCAACGTTGAGAGCAAGCGTATCAGAAGAAAAAGAGTTTTCGTCTCTCGAGGATCACGACGTAATAATATTTTGCACCCGTTACGCCATTTTACGACTACATTAACAGTCTTATCGACGTTGTTTTCTCTCGTTTTTTTTTTTCGTCTTTTATTATACAAATCGTTTTCATCAAATATTTCTCTAATACGTTATTTAAAACTTGACATAATAAATTTTTTTTTTTGTTTGTTTTATATACGAATACTTTCACCAAGAAAGCACGTCTTCGACGGCCATCGTCGGACGTCAACGTGTCTTGTTTATTTCGCGATCGATCTCTCCCTTGTAAAAATATACAACGTCGAATTCTTCTTCTTTTTTTTTTCATAGGATCGAATTGTTCTCTCTCTGTTTTTTGTTTTTCTTTCCTCAGATTTCGTTTTATTTCGGTGCGGTCATAAATAAAAAAATCCTTTCGATCTTTCCGTTCAATAGGAAGAGTACAAAAGTTCGTAACCTTAACAAAAAGGTCTTACACGATTTCCTACGGTGAACGCTTCATCTCTTTCCCTCTATGCGTTTGGTAACACGTTACATATGTATAATTGCGAACGATTGGCGTTCGACTTTCCTCGATATTACGAATTTCGACCGGCTCGAAACCGCGAACAAGAGATTAATCTTCGTCGTGTGAGAATTCCCGGGTGTGCTCTTCGGAAGCTTGATTCCGTAACACGCGCCGTGGGAACTTTATCGCCGACGGAACACGACCGAAAGAAACGTAAAACTGTTGCGTGTAAGGTTCTCGGGCCGTAAAAAAGCTAAATTCGCGCCGATCGCATCTCGTTTAACGGTACGCGCGGAGCCGAATAGAATCAGTAGCGGAACCAAGCTTCGAGAGTAAGGAGCCGATGAGACGGGGGGTCATCTCCATCGCGCGAATCGACGCACGCCTTATTTCCTACGACGAACACCAAAGCTTTGAACACAATCGGGGCAATAGAGAGACAGAGTCGGACAACGATAGGGAAATACGGTTCAAGGTAGGACTGTGCGCCTACCCGAGGCTCCGATTTCGAACGGGTTCGGGGTACAGAACATTTCCCACCGCACCAGCACGTTTGCGTTCTCGCGCCTAAAAATCACTCGAGCAAACAGAGACCGCGCCTTACGACGGTCCGTTCGAGAAACCAAATAACGGGTCTTTCAAATTTAATAAACGTCTCCGAGTTTCGTTGGTCGGTTTCCTTGGGGAATTAAAAATATCGCTTTACACTTTCGTGATATTATACGAGATCGAAAAGGGGCGCGAAGAAAACGGGGTTCCGCTCGTGCGATGGGAAATCTTTCAGGGTCCTCGATCCAGCGTCCACCAACGCGAAGCTTTCAGGTACGCGTACACCCCTGGTCGAAGGGGATCGTTTTCCAACGAGAAAAAATGCCTCGTCGCAAATCACGGTACAACCTCTTCCAACATACGATCATCATCACACTCTTTCTCACCCATACGCGTGCAACACACAACGGGAAATGCACGCGCGTTCGTTTGGTCGCACGTGTCCAAGGGGATCACCGTCCGATTCCGACGTGGATCCGGTTAAACCGTTAATTAAATTACTGATCGTGTGCGCGTTTTAATCTTGTCCGCTTGTTGCTCTCCGTCCGTTCTTCCACGGTCGTCTCACAGGCTCTCACGCGCACGGTCCGCGAAGCCCTTCCGGTCTACGTAACGTCCGCAATCCCGTTGCGGATCCGATTCCCAGCGATCGATCAAACCAACAGACAGAAAAGCGCAGAAGAGCACGTGTGTTTTATGTTTTTGTGTGTGTGTATGTGTGTGTGTGTTTTTTTTTTCTTTTTTTGGTTTCTTTTGTTTATTTTCCTCCACGAATGATAATTATTTATCGATAATAGTTCTTATGCGTAACAACCCCTTTCCAGAGATTACCCCATGACGATGGACGCGTTCGCGTCGGCAGCTCGGTGGACAGTTTTTTTTTTTTTTTGTATCTTTTTTTCTTTTTTTTTTTTTTTTTTGTAAACAAATGAAGATATACAAGTTTCGAAGCGTTTAGCGGGAAAAGTCGAACGTGTGTGCGATTCGTTCGTCCTCTCGTCGACGACTCGTTCTATATCTTGCACACGCGGACACCCGCCGCGACCACAAAACTTCCATGCGAGCCCGTCCTCAACGCCCGGGTGCATCCTGGTACGCGCGACGCTCGCCACCGATGCGGATCGTCGGCGAGATCGAACCGTGTTAATGGATTTAAATATGGTATCGTGTGTGATTCCGTGTCCCGAGCTGTTTTTTCCCAAAACCCAGAATAGAACTTGTCCTAAGCAAGCTTTTTCTCCGTGTTGTTGTTGGCCACGTAACCGTTGTTGGTTCCATTGCTGTAACAACTGTTGTACTCCTTGTTGTAGATCGTCGCGTACGACGAGACGCCGTTTTGCCGCGGCGTCGAGTCCTCGAGGACCGGCATGCACAAACCACCCGCGGACCCGTTTAGCGACTTCTGCGACCTGGGTCTCTTCGAGCTGCCTACGTACTTCGCTTTGTAAAAGTCCGAGAACAGACCCAGGAACAACACGCCGTGAAGACCGATCCAGATCATGAAACCGCGCGGATAATCGCACTCCCTGAACAACAACTGGAACTGGTGAGACATGATCAGCACGAATTGCACCTGAAACAAACCGTACCCAATTCTTTCGTTACTTATGCCTCCTTCTAACACGGTTAGAGACTTTATTTCCTAAACCAAATCGTCTGTCTTCTACACGAAACAAGATGTATCGATGGTGAAAATGTAGCTCGAATGGCTTCTAACTCGAGATGTTATTTAATGAGACAATGTTTTTGTGGAAACCGAATTTTCTGCGCCAGTTTCTCGATCGTAGGCTCTGGCGTAAAAACTATACGCCTAATTGTAATCTCCGTAAGAAACTGTGTAGGAAATCGTGCGAGAGCGAGTGAGAGGATCAGGGGGGGGGGGCAAAAATCGTTGCAATTTGACATGCTTGACTGCACCACACGGACCACGGGAATGACTCATGCAACTCGCATAGCAAGTTTCGTGAGTCACGGGGCCCGTGTTTTGCCAAATTCGTCAGGCATTTGGAACTCGTAAAAGGTGCGGTCATGTGTCTTTTAATGAAACGGGTCGAGAGATGGACCAGGCCAGTGGGCCATGGCCCAGTTGTTGACACTGTTCGTTGTCGAAAGGACAGACCAGATTATTGTTAAAAAGGATGGAGAAGATATCGCGACTGGGCTCACCATTTGCAAGGTAGTCAGGTACTTCTTCCACCAGATGTACTTCTGGAATTGAGGGCCCATCGCAGCCACCATATAATAGAAGTACATTATTATGTGAACAAAGGTGTTCAGGAGGGCGAAGAAAGTGCTATGGCCACCTGGCGCGAACTTCATCCCCATCCAGACCGAGAAGGGCATTATTCCGTGGTGGATAACGTGAAGCGTCGACACGTGCTGGTTCTTCTTCCTCAGGATGAAAAAGAGCTGAAAAATCGCAAACACAGTTGCCTGTACAGACCCATAATCGTACGACTTATTGAATTAGCGTATCGACGCGAGTGCGGAGTGCAACAAAATCGGATAAAGAAACGTTCGAGCATCGATGACCAGCCGCCATGTTCAGATCTTCTAACGAGATTTAGTCACCGGGCACAACCAAGTCGATTTTCCTGATCGCGAACACACGGTTCTATTGGCAAATGGAGCAGAATGTCACCTGGCCTAGCAATACCGGTTTACACGAAAAAGAACGCAAGAACAATTTCTACAGCCTTGAACCTTGGAAATGCCACGATGCGAAAAGCGTGGGTTTCCCATATTTTATTTACTCCTACTCAGGTAAAACGAACTTCTCCAAGAGAACACTTTGGTAAACAAGAACGATGATCCTGTAAGTTTTCTTTGCTTTGGTTCAAGATAGTTTCCGATTGTTGTTTTCAGGATGAGGACGGAATCGAATAATACTCACGGTATCGAAGAACTCTGTGAACTTGCTGATGTAGTACCACCAACATGTGTGCGCCATTCTCATCGCCATAGGGCTGGTCGAGTAGTCGACCGGTTGGCACCGGAAACTGTATCCTTTCGCCCAGCCACTCATCAAGTACTGAAACAAGAAAACGGCGGAAAGTGAGGACAATAAAAGGGCTGCATTCAGCGTAGACTCGACGGACAATCAGCGTATAGAGGCACGATCGCTCGCTTTTCACGGAGAAACTCTGTCTCGCTCGCTTTGTTCGATCAAGAAGCCGGGAAAGCCACGAGGGGGGGTTGGGGAAGCACCGGGAGAAAAGGGTGGGTTCGTCGGAACGGGGACGCGGTGGGGCGGAGGGACGCACAAAAGAGAGTCCTCGGCTACGTTTCTGTCGCGAGACGACTGTCGGTTGTATTTAAAATTCTAAAAGCTCGCGCTCCTTCGGAGAACGACGAACAATGGGTCTTCTGTTTGTTTCGCGTTTCGCCGCGTGTTTTTCGCGAGTTTTCGCGGGAACCAGGCCACGGTTCCGCGCGACCCTAAAAAACCGAGATCGATCCTAAGCGGCAACCGGATCGCGATTCACCCCTCGACGACGACCTCGCGGCGGTCACCCCGTTCGCGGACCAATTTCAAGGGGGTTGCTCTCAACATTTTTCTTTCCTCATTTCCAGAAGCTCTAAAGTCCAGAGTCGAAAACAACAGAATGCAACTCCATTTTTACATCTTTGCTGGGCATCGACGAACACAACGCTTCCAAAGTGCACATTCCCAGACGATAATTAGTGGTCGTTAAATTATTTGTTATCTGGCTGATCGGTCTTATCGGGTGTTTGACGTTCGAATAAAAGCTTTTCCCCCCGTCCCCGTGGTCGCGGAGCTCCGTAATCGCGCATAATTCCTGATTAACGGAAGCAACACACGCTAGGAAACGAGACCGCGTGCGCGAAGCGTGTCACGGAAGCGAAAACTCGCGAGGTCGTCGCGGTGTCTTAATAACTGGCTAAGTGGCACTGAGAACGAGCAACTTGCACGATTGTCCGCGAAGGACTCGCGTCTTCTTCGCGGATTTTCAAGCTTTCGAGCCGCTAGCGCCATTTTGGTACCGGCTGGTCGTTCGAGGGATAAGTCCCCGATGCCATTGAAAACCGAAACAAAGTGGTTGCATCGCGCTTTGAATAATTTACTGTTAAGTTTGCTCGTTGCACTTTGTGTCTATTGAAAAATTCTATGCATCCGTGAGCGAGTCGTGACGCTTCTTACGTCGTGCTAGCTTTTTGTCGAGTTTATCGTGTTTCTCTGCGAGAAAGTTGGGGGAAATTTCGTGGATCGCGTGACCGGATCGACGTCACGCGACGTACGATTCTCGATGTTCGATTCGTGCTGCAGGGGACGGGTCATTCCATTAAACTTGACCGTGTTAAACAGCTAGAAAAGCTCGAGTATGGTTGCGTGGGCCGGCGTCCGCTCTAACGAGAACACGTCGCGCGTATGGTCGTGGCAGCGTGTGGTTATGTGTCAAGGCCACGCTGTGCGATCCCGAGTTACGTTACACTCACGCTATAGCAATTTTCCGACCGAATTTTCCCAGCCACGTCCACAAAAGGCGTAACGTTCGCGTATTTAACTATATTCCAGACACTATATTCTTCTGGTGCTGAGCTTTTCCTAAAAGCATTCCTGGAAGCCCTTGGAGCACGATGAGCTCATGATTGGATCGTATCGCTTCGAATCTGTGACGTCTCGATGGGTCGTGGAAACTTTCCCATAAATAACGAGCTTTTTGTTCGAAAAATTTCAATTTTTCTGAATTCATACCATACCGAAGAATCGATGTTCTTTGCAAGAGACACTTTCTCGGGGTCGGAACGCCGAATGCATTTTTTAAAACAAAACCAAGCCTCGCCGATCTATACGTTCGTTTATTTGTGAAAAATGTCCAAGGCTCATTAAAAGTTTCGAGATTCATCAAGACTTCGAGACCGATCGAGACTCTCAAGACCTCCCCGTATCGAATAATGCTCGAAGCGATCCGAAACTTCACAGTCTTGAAAGTTTCGAGTCTCTTTCAAGACACATATTCCAACGTCGCTGGAACTGGATGATGCAGTGAATGCATGCTACACGAGCTTCGTAACGATACCTTGCTGTATAATATTAATAATGTAACGCGTGGAAAAAGACCATTTTTTTACCAACCACGTACAAACTACGAGTAACCGCTTACGCGCGAAACATTTAGCATATAGCTACTAATAGGCATACCTGAACTGGTCTTTTACGCCTAAATAGCAATCATTTATGAGCATAGTAAACGGAAACTACAAATAGGCAGTTACACGGTGCCGAGTAAGATTAATCTTCATTCAGAGTACTCGAGGCAGTAACCAATTTACAATGATTTTCACGAGACTCTGTTAAACAGAAGCAACGAATAGTAACGTTTCTTATTCCTTTATTAAAAATTATTAATTTTACAAGATACTCGAGCAACTGCTCGATCGAATAAACGTACTTGCCGTTTCGACGGTTATTATTCGAATAAAGTTTCCGCCATAACTGTTTCGCCGTACGTATGCAAGAATCAGCGAAACTCCCTCGAAACTCGTGACCATTAAATGTAGGGGAGAGTTCCCTAATGCATACGAGTCGCCAAAATGGTACCTCTTCAATTTCTCTATTATTACCGAATACAAACGCAATCTAGCGCTAAATTATAGACGAGAATAACCAATAAATATTTCAGAAACTATTTTCCAAGCTAGAAATATTTCAAACAAATTAATTTATCTTTCCACCGGTCATCCGTTTCAATCGATTTGTCGTTCGATCCGTGAACTATTAGACGTAATGACTCGATCGTTTCGAAGATATAACTAATTAAAATTACGCGTGTAGCATGTACTGAATTATGCACTATGAATATAAACATTTGTCACTTTCTTTCGTCGAAGTGACCGTGGCACAGGTGGCAGAAGTGGGAGTTCGCATGCTCGAGGTCGTCCAACCTCGAAACTCGTCCAAATGCTTATTTTTTCCCCAATCGCTATAAAATTGTTGATGAGATATTGCAAAACATTGCAAATCGAATGGAAAGGACAATTTCCAGGATACAATTTTAATCGTTACATACTAGATCTAATCAGCTTTCTTGCAATTTCCGACACAACGACTTCGAGCAATTTCGCTTTTGAAAGTTGCAACAATAATTAGAGATTATTACCTCCACATTTTATCATTCCAAAAGCCACCAACATTGCGTTCTAATACACATTAATTAAAGTTAGACACCGTGGTCTTTCACCGACTCGACCAGTAATTAACCGTAATAAGTAATTTCCCTTTAAGCGTACATATTTTTTAACGTCACCGGTGAACGGAGACTCTTATAAAATATTTCATTTTCGAATCCTCGTATTTCTGAAGTGGTTCAGAAACCGTGAAACGAACCGACGAGTTTATTTTAAGTAAACTTTTTATCTACTGATAATTTATATCATATACCGGCAATTATCAAGTTATGACGTTTAATATTTTGCGCGAACCAATCGGGATAGGTGGGTTTATCGTTACGAAAAAGTAGGTTAAAATCGAAGGTGGACGAGTTTGGTCCTTCCCTTGTCAAAGGACCCGATTCCCCTTCTCTTTCAACGCTTGTAATTCTCGCTTTCCCTCGAATTCAGATCCCAGATTACACATAATACAAGGTTCATTTATTCCTGATATCTTCTGAAAAGTCACTTTCAATGAAATCATTCTTAACGGACAAATAAAGAAGTCTGGTTTCTTTGCAATAAAGCACGGAAGATCGTAAAATGTGCATTACGGGTTCATAAAAGTTATGGAACTAAAATCTATTATTGTTCCCAACGACTTACACAATGAACGTAAACAGAAGTTACGTGGTACGCTTGTTGGACTTTCCCCGGTTTTATGAATAAAATAACGAGTACGATTGAAGTGTAAGGATCGGTTATTAGAAAAAATTGTTTCTGTAAACGTATCAAATTCCACCTTAATATTCTATTACACTGTTCTCGGAGAGATAAAGTTCGAATGCGAAAAAATCTGATTCGCTATCGCTGCTTCCGTGAAAGATAATCAAGAGGCAGTAAATTTTATCGCATTCCTCGTTAGTACAGTACTTTTACTCGAAAGTCAGAGACTGTCTTCGACGAGTATACGTCAATTTAACCCTTTCACTATAGCAACGCCGGTCAGCTGTATGGGAATACAGAGAGCCACGAGACCTATGCGTTTCTATATACAGAATTCAGGCCTGTTCGTTGCGTCACGCGATTTATTACTAACTTATTCCCGCGTTGCCAGTGACACTCGTACTGACCGTTTGCAGCGAAAGGGTTAAGTAAGTTCACGCCATAAACTGCCAAACGGAAACGCATGCCTCCGATTAAACGTCGGAGTGTACGCGACAAGGTTATCGAAATAAACGTCATCCCGTGAGTCACTGCGCAGATAATCCGCCATCGTTTACTATATTTAAACGTTCCGGCGGGAAAGTCGCGGATCGGAGAAACAAACGTGCGCGTGGTTTCTGTTTACAGCTTTCACGACACTCTGCCGCCCAAACGTTCGGGATATGAACGTTTGGAGAAATTTATAGAAAGGTTGGAAATTAATAAGAAAACTGGAACACCCAAGACCAGAAGAATTTTTCGAGGATTCTATGAATAGAGTATGTTCGCGTTATCTTGTTGAGTCTGCAGGCTAATTTTTGAGGGAAACACGAGGCGGACAAAAGACGAGGTCCATCGATCGCGGTGGCCAAGTTGGCGACAAAGAACCGGGGCCTGCCGCGTTCGCAAATTTCATTTGAATTCTATTAGACGCGCCCTGGTCGTCGATGGAAACCGGAATGTCGGATGGTCGCCTCGAACCCGTCCGCCATCGTTCATGAATAAGTCCAAAGATTCATTATTGCACGACGAGGGGGCGATTTACGGTCCTTCGTTATTGAGAGAGAAGAAAACCTTGTACACGATTAGACACGAAAACGTCGTACCCGGTAGACGTCTAATCGAATACTTATTAGACAGATACGTTCGATCGCCTCCATATTAGCGCCTGAAATATTTACAACCGTATAATTTATGCTCCTCGTTCGACCAAGCTGAAATTTATCACTTTTTTTTCAGCTGTCCATTTAAAATTGTCTATGGCAAAAAACTATTTCCTAATTGTAATTTAATGAGATCGGGGGCGATTAGAGTCGATCGAGTCGGCATTGAAAATATTTCTATTTAGAACCGATGACGATTTGCCGAGGTTTTGACGGCCGTATCTCGACCTTTCGATTTCCTTGGAATAAAATGAAACCGAAATATCGGCTGCCAATCATCGAGACATGTTGTGAGAGGATAGAAAATACGTAGAGACGTAGTTCTGTCACAGACGTGGTATACAAGCAGACCTTAGATCCAATGTATATTTCCGGTGAAGAATTTTATTTCTCGAATGTGCGTAGGATTTCAGGGATATGTCTATTGACCAAAAAATGATTGTAATTCAACCTCGGAACCAAGAATAATTTTTTTAGAACGATTTGAAAATTTTTAATTTTGTAGAAATATTTCACACCTACTCGAATTTTTTTCTAGAAACTGGTTAGGATTTCGAGGATATTTCTATTGACCAAAAATGATTGTAATTGACCCTCGGAATCAGAAATAATTTTTTTAGAACGATTTGAAAATTCTTAATTTCGCCGAAAAATTTCAAAGCTTTTCGAATTTTTTTCTAGAAAATGGGTAGGATTTTAGGGGTATGTCTATCGACCAAAAATGATTGCAATTGACCCTTGCAACAGAAAATAATTTTTTCAGAACGATTTTAATCTTTCCAATTTCGATGAAAAATTTCACATATTCTCGAATTTTTTTCTAGAAAATGGGTAGGATTTCAGGGGTATATCTATTGACCAAAAATGATTGCAATTGGCCCCCGCAAATTAAAATAATTTTTTTAGAACGATTTGAAAATTTTTAATTTCGCCGAAAAATTTCACACCTTCTCGAATTTTTTTCTAGAAAATGGGTAGGATTTCAGGGGTATGTCTATAGACCAAAAATGATTGCAATTGACCCCCGTAACTGAAAATAATTTTTTTGGAACGATTCGAAAATTTTTTTTTCGCAGAAAAATTTATGCACCTATCCTCCTTTTGTGTAAGGTCTACTCGTATACTTTGTCTATGATTCTGTCTTCTGATTGGTGCTACGGTATTCTGGCGATAATATACTGGTCACATTCTACCGTCGACGATTCACTCTCGTCGCCACTTGATAAAATCCGACGACGTAACCTCGATATTTGAAGATGGCTCTTAAGCGTCACTTCACGGTCTTCGATCGAGTCTAATATGCACCGGTCGAGGATCTCCTCGAGGAGACCCAGCTTCCGGTAATAGCCTGCTACCAATTTCAAACTGCACGTGCCTGAAACTGGTCCTTCTTATATAAAATCAAGAGGCCAGGCTAGAACCTCCGAAAAAGCTATTTTTCTACAATATTCACAGAACAAGAATTTATTTTAAAAATACCATATCGCAAGTTAAACAGATACCCGAGCGTTAAGGGGTCGATGCTGTGGAAAAGCGATCGAAAGTTTCGGGGATCCTAAAATTTTCAAGAGCCCTTTCATCGATATAATTGGGAGGAATTATTCTTCCAAGAAGTTTCAAGAATCGCAGCTTCCCGGAGGTTGAATTTCGCGAATAAGAGCCAGCTGGGAGGTCGATGGCGCTCTGTGCTCGCTGGATATCGGTCGGAGCGATCGATCGGCGATCGGTATAGGCAAATAATAATTGGACCGACGAAAAACGCGTAGAAAGTTACGCGACAACCGAACCTACGTGAGTACGATTCTCACGAGATAACTGTACTTGGCCACGCACGCGACATACTAAACGCAAACCAAATACGATCGGTATTTGATTAAATACGCGCGCGCATTCTTGACCCTCGTCGCGTGAACTAACCTGGGGGATCCATTTTCATGGAACTTCATTCATGCTTCCCCGAACGACAGCGGATAACTATTTAATTACAGTTCCAAGATGAAAATTGCGAGCAGAAATCTTCATTTCTCTAACCACGCGATATCCAAGTGAAACGTCAGAATCAGCAGTTACGAGCGAGATGAACTATCCTAAATAATTTGAAATTTTTTTGCAATCGATCGCGAAAGATAACGATAAGAAGAAGCGGGTATAAAGGAGTCGTAGAATAATGGCGGCTAACGACCAGGCAGTTTCATAAGAAACGGCCTCAAAGCGCGGCGGAAGGCTGAAAAATGGTAAATCGTCGTTTGTAGGATCCGCGGAGCCCCCCTTTTCATCCGACGCGATGAATTCCATTGACTTGGTCGACGGAGCGGACTTATGCAACCCACGGAGCGCCGAATCGTAGCCGGCAGGCAATAACTTTCACGAATAAGGGACAGGCGAGTATCGCAGCCGAGGTCGGCTATTAATTATTCTACGCGGGGATCGATGATACACGTCGGAATGGGATTACTTTATCGAGTTTATCGGCGGGGTACACAGCCGTATGCGTGTTTCTGTGCCAGGATAGAAATCGTGAAACTCCTGGGAGGAAAGGGCGTACACGCGTTATCAGGATACCTTAACCCTTTCGGGGGACCAAGTCCACAAGCTCTAAACTCTGTTTTTACAAACACGTTGGGCCCGAGTAGTCTTCGTTTCTTCGTCGATGGGAAAAATACGTGTGGATTTGGTTTATATTTATTGGCTGATCATATTGTATGGCAGAGAGAAAGAAAGAACAGTCGTGGGCGTTAATGTGTCAGCGTAAGTAGAATGTGGACAGCGTTGAGTAATTCTGGCTTACGAAGGCTGACTATAACGTCTGACCCAATACGACTCGCAGCACGGAAGGTCTTTCTTTCTCCGCGGAATATTAAGGGTTAGTTTCATTGTTCGCGAGACATTGCCCGCTAACGACCCGGTATTTATTTCGCCCAGAAATCCTCCTATAGACGAATTAAAAAGAAAGACTCCCCCCGTTGGCGTCGAACATAATCGCGAAGCAAAGGGGAGAGGTTGCCGAACCGCGATTTAAAATTTATTATTTTCATATTTTCGACGCGAATTAATATCGCGACCCGTGGCTGAAAGGGATTAAAAAGAAGAGAAAAATTGGACGAACCTCGTAGAAGATCCATGAGGAGAATATCGTTTGTATAAAGTTGTACACTATCAGGACTTGACGAAGGTTGAAAGGCTTTTTATTTTCCATTATCCTCGGTCCCATAACCTTGCTGAAATAAGCGTAAAATAGGCATATCGCCAACGTCGGGAAAGGACTGCTCATCATCGCCCAATCCTTCACCCTGGGATCTAAAATCAGAACACAGTCCGTTAGAGCAAGGGAAATCGTGGGGCAAGGGTTCGTCGAACTTTGAGCCACCGAATTACCTATATTTACCATACAGATCATTATTTTCTCGCGGGAATCGGCAGAAATATTGTTCCAAGTATGCACTTTTAATACGGACACGAAACATTCCCGAATCGGAGTGCAATTATCGAATTTTCGTCCCGTCTACCATCGCGGGTTAAATTAAATTATCGGCGAACACTGGCTGATCAATTCTCAGATGAAAAATTGTCATAGAGCCATGATTTTTTTTTTTAGATTAAAGCTCCGAAGCCTCCACTTTGCGGTATCGTGTTTCGATTTTCGGTTCAACGCGTCCCCGATATCGTGGAATTTCAGAGAATTGCGGGGGTCAAAGGTCGCAAAAATCAGCGGTGGTCGTCGACATCGTCTTCCCCTGGATTCGACGCGGGGCTGATTAATATCGCGTTCAATGGTGGATCGTTACCCAGAGAGTCTGAGAGCAGCCTCGAAATTAAAGGGGCAACGCGCCTCTATTTAGAAAGCCGTATTAAAGTCTCCGGGCGGTCCACGACGGTTCTGCACGACCAGAAACCACCGACGAGCAAATGAAAGATTCCGCTTCGAGCAATGCCCACCGAGAGATGGTTCCTCGCGAATTTCACTCTCGTCCGAGCGGATCCGCGTCCACTTCATCCGCAGATACCCGCTAATTAAACCTCGCTCCCCTGTCCGCGGTAATAACGTTAAAACCGCGTTTAATTATCGGATCTTCGCTCGAGATTCCTACAAAGCAAACAATCCCCCTACCTTTTCCCTCGCTCGTTCATTCTTCCAATGGTTAATTTTGTTCCTTTTTCTCTTTTTTTTTTTTTTTTTTTCGTTCGGGTTCCGTCGTGATATTACGCATCGTCATTACGGAACAATAAACCCTCGTCGCCACGATTTTCCTATGATTACGCGACGATGAAGTACGATCTTCCCGGTTCGTCGACCTCTTTGCGAGCGCTATTATTTTTAGGAAGGAGCAAAACAACGAGCTTACGCTATTTTTAATGATTCGTTTAACCCTTTCACTCCGAGTTATTTCGTTAAACGTTATCGTCGTCTGTGAATGTTCCTTTTTATTTCGAAGAATGCAGATGCAAACATTGTTATCGGAAGAATTAGAAGGAAGGGAAAATTCAGTTGATGAAAACGCAGTGACCTCGTAACTTTTGAGGTTTGCGAATTTTACGTTTATCCCCCTTTGTTGTTTACTTTCTTCAGCCCCGTTCTCCGAGACAATGGCATCATTAGGAGCATCGCCTGCGATGAAGAACAATGCCCGACACGACTGTGGAAACTGATGTAACGAACGGAACGGAGCATGGGATAATTGTTCCGATACACATTGCCTCGTGTGTTTCTGACTTCGATGCAAAATATAGAATATTTCCGGGCACGTGAGTATTTCAACAAGATATTAATCACGCCTCAAGGTAACATTCCAAATACATAATGATAAAATAATTACCAAAAATAGACTATTCGAATCAACATTTTCGACGATCGAATATTGATGAACGAGCAAAAATAAAATCGAAAAGGGTGTCAAAAATGTCGTCGATTTGCGTCGAATAAATTATTGAAATGAGCAATCGGAAATATCGCCGTTATTATTGTACCCATTAAAACGACGTCGCTAAATTTGGAATTCTGATTTCGAATTTGCAATTTTAAACTGTTGACAAATTGTCCTTGCTTTTGTCCTTGCCGCGGACCGGGCACGAAGCATTTCACTGTCAAATCAATTATTCCACCGTCATACGCGAGGTAATCGTATCGTAAATTGTCGCCGTGCAAATTCTATTTGTAACTGTACCGTTTGTTGAGAAAAATTTCATTATAGAAATGGCGCGTGAACTTCAATCGCGTACGTGTGCACATAATTCGTTACCCTCGGTCGATCACTTTGACCTATTTGCGCCACCGTCGCTGCTTGTTTGTAATCGAACGTTTTATAAACTTATTCCTACCCCGATACAATATTTTTTTTTTGTCGTAAAACGTTCGCCAAGTATTCTCAGGATTTTGGTCATTTTACAGCCACGGAAACTCGAGTTTTAAAGGGTGAAACATCCTCGAAAGTTTCACCCCTTCAGTGGTATCGTATAAACTATTGGATGCGCAGAGAAGTTTGTTCAACAAGTTCTTCGTACTCGAGCGATTATAACGAGGGATTTAGAAAATGGAAATTTCTGCGGCTTTTGAGCAGCACAGGTGCACGTTTTGACCCAGGTACAAGGTCCTCTTCACGTTACAAGCTTAATATAACATGTGATCAGTTATTAATAAGGTTTGTATATCGAATAAATCAGACTTTGAGGTCTACCTTAGCATCGGAACTTATTCAACATGTAAATCTATTAATAATTACACCAATAATGTACAAAGTCCTCTTCAAGTTACAAGATTAATATAACATGTGATCAGTTATTGATAAGGTCGACTAAATCGGACTTCCTTGACGTCTACCTTAGCATCGAAATTCATTCAACATGTAAATCTATTAATAATTAACCGTATGTTATATCAATCTTGCATACAGATCGAAATGTAAAGCATTAAAACAAACAACAAACTTTGAAAAATAACCACCAAAGATTTTGCTTCGTTATTAATTTTCGTAGCGAAAGATGAATGTTACCATTCGTCGAAAGTCGTAAAGAATTTGCAGAAAAATGTTCCTTGTATCGTCGGTAGTTTCAGCGATAACAGGGGAATGGAAGAAACTTTGGAGGGTAGTTTCACCCTTAAACTCGAGTTACCAGGGCTAATAAAATTTTACTTATACCTTATTTTTGGCCGCTCCGAGGATCTACAAAGTTTCATCGAAATCTAAGGGTAGGGGGTTGCGCCTCGCGGATGTTTCTTGTTAGTTTCGCCCTAACTTATTCATACGCTGACTTAATCCTCTTAACTCCTTCACAGTCTCTTCGTCTCTCTGTGATCCATTTTTCACCTAATTCTTTCCGTCCCATTCTCCGAACTCGAGCACCTTCGTATGCATTTAGAACTCTTCTCGGGTCATTTCACACCCTCCCCCCCCTCCTGGTATCAGGGGTTTTGTCCAAATCGAAATTTTAATTACCGTTCGAGTTGCACGGGAAGGGTCCACGAGCTCCATTGGATCGCCAAGAGGGGGCCCGTGGACAAAAAGGCTACTCCGAACCGATCGGTCGCGAAAGTAAAAGCGAAACTACCGATTCGGCCACGAGAACGCTAATTATTGCCGACGGTATTCGTCACGCCACGCGCAGTTGACCCACCGTACAACCTGCAATTTGATCATGAACGCTCGTCGACTCGTCGACGAATCCCGAGTGCGCAAAAAAAAACTGACGTAACAATGGAAATAGAGAGCAAGGTGACATTCCACCGGCCGCAAAAAAGGACACCGGACAATTTCGCAAGACGTTATTATTATACGCGGCTCGAAAAGTGGAGCAACGAGCGCGCGATTTAAAAGTCTCCTCCTCGCGATTACGCAACCAGCGATGGATGTTCCATTCGTGTACCTGTCGCAGATATCAAAGTCCTACCATTCCGGCAGGAAGTCGCTAACGAAACGAATTTATTAATCAGCCAGGGTCACGTGAACGCGAATATCGGAATCGCTAAGACGACTCTAGCGACCGTGAGGTCGACCCACATAATAAAACAGGACCCCATGACGACCCATTGTTCCGCGACGAAACTATTAACGACCCGTTCACACGATACGGTCTTCAGATCCGTGGCCGATTCGCCGGTTTTCAGATTCCATCATTTTTCTTCCCGTTTTAATTTTATCAAACAATCAAAGGGTTAACACACCTTTGCCACCGTCGAGCGTTTCGCGAACCCCGGGGCCGTTCTCAATGGAATATTTGTTTTGAAAAGCAAACGAGTCGCGTCGTTTACAATTGTAAAACGGTTCGCTCGTTAGGAAATACCTTGTTTCCGGTAACAATGGATCGCGGAGATTTAAATATCCGTCAGCGAAAATTTGAAAGTGGTGCGAGGAAGATAAGCGCGCGGAAAGTCTACGACGCGATTCGAAATATTTATTATTTGTATAATTAAATGTATCCAAACATGCATTCGATAGGCACCCGATTTCACGATAATCGTCTTACTTAATAATTCGATGTTGTATCGCTGATTAATTGGTAATGTTTTTGCGAAGATGCAACGGTAACGATAAAGGTTTAAATTTTCATTAACGAATGACAATCTCACGCTCGATAAGGCACGCGCGCGAACGTGAATCATCGAGCACATGCGAGCCTCGGCCTCAGCCCGAGATAAGCAAGATCGATATGTCAACAAAAAAAACTGGTACAATAACCTGAGCTTAATTGACGCCTCCTTAAAAGCAACGAAGTCGAGCTACGGTCATTGTTTATTAAAATGTTTACATTTATTATTGCATCTTCGTGAAAACATTATCAACGAATCGGGGAAGCTTTCCCGATTAAAACGAGTACAAACACGACCCACTTAAAATTATTTCTAATTCCAAGGAATAATGCAGCGCGCCCCCAATTCTGCGAACATGGACGCCGCCTGAACAACAATACTCCGATTCATTATATTCCTCGGAATATAAATGTCCAAGCTCGCGAAATAAACGGCATCGAGGACGATTCTATTTCATTTATCGAGGCCGAAACTCGTTCAGTTAACCGGGAGGCGGCTGCGGGCGGCCGCAGAATTAATCGACCGGGAAGCGAGCGATTCGATTACGCGAGGGAGGCCATAGGAGAGCAGCGGCACGAGAGGGAGATTCTCAACCGTGGAAAATTCGTCGGCTCGAGAGCGGAGAGCTTGCCTGGTTGCCCGTCAGCTTGGATAAATTTCTCGGGCATTTTTTTCCCCCGACCCTCTGTGGGAAGACGCGGCAGGCAGTTGTTCAGGAGGCGGTCGTCAGACCTTCCGGTAAATTACCCTTGCACTCGCATGACCCGGACGAACCGACACCCGCGCCCCGCTACGTGTCCACGCGACACACACGCTTCTGCGACTCCATGACGACCCGTTCTCGCAATTTTTTTTTCTTCCACTCTGCCCCCCACCGTCGCCCCGCGAATTGACGAGACGATGCACAAGTGCCCCGCTTTGATGTTTAAAGTCTCGCGAGATGGGCAGCGTAGTTTATCCGAGACCGTCCGATCGAGTGAAGCGACGGATACACCGAGAGGAAGCGAGATACAGCGCTGCTCGGATAAGTGAAAGAATCGCGGGACCGAAATCTTGCAGTTATACGAACATGGCCCGTTTTCAGTTCTCTTCAGCGAGGTTTCACTTATCCAAGCACTACTGTATACAACTTCGTGGGCAAGATTGGCGCTAGGTGACGCACATGCATTGGATCAAGAAAGTTTCCATACGTTCGATTAAAATTCAAACGTTTCTTTCTAATAGATTGTGACATATAAGGTTTATAAAATAATTTATGACGGTTTTTAGAGCAATTCTTGTTCGAAACACATTGTTGGTTTGCATGTGGCAGTTGTAGAACACTGATTATACAACGAGATTAACGATTCGATAAATAAATAAAATAGGTGACAAGACCACTTTTATTGTGGGACGAAAGATAGAAGTCGAGCAACAACAGATATCAAGTATGTTCGTGTAAAACAGAATGATGAACAAGGTTGGAAGATATCAAGGAACTATCCTTTGTAACCTTTGGATACATGTATTTACAGTTTAAAAAATTCGTTTCAAAAGGTCGAGAACGCTTATATACTTATATTATCGGTGTTTTAAAATAATGATATAGTTGCGAAGACAGAAAAAGACGTGTTTACTCGTGCCTGGTAATCTAATCTTAATTTTTTCTATGTAAGCCCCGAAGCCGGTGTCTCGCGTTTAAAATCATACGTAACGCACAACGATTCCACGTTCTTTATCGAAGCAAACGATAACGTAATGCTTTCGGTCTGTCAAATGTAAACTTTATTTTTCATTTACACAGATACCGAGTAAATTCCTGCAACAAGTAGTTAAACGAAAATAATAATGTTTTGGGGAGATGGAGGCGTCGTTCGCTGTATGTTCGGTGACTGTGACGAGGCAAATGGCGTGTCCCTTACGAAAATTATGGTTTCTGGTATTCCCCCCTCCGATAATGTGCAACATCATCGTGTTCCACGATTCTCAAGAATCGATTTGCGATGACTAACGGTTCAAAAGACTCATGCTCGAGCCCATATGGTACACTCGACTGGCCAAGAATTCCAGTTCACGCATTGTCGATCGCCGAGCGTGCCATTTAGGCGACCAAGTCCCGTAAATTCGTTCGACCCTGTAGCGTATCGAGGGGTGTCGCGAACGTACTATCCCTACTACGAATTAATGCAATAGAGGCGCGTGGAAATCGAGTTACGCCAATTGGGGAAGATCAAAATGAACTTCGTTGTCCTGTTCGAACAGTTGCTAAAGAAATTTTATTCACAACTTTTCGACCGATTAAACTTTAGCTACGCTTAAAAATTATCTTTTATATAAACGTACGAATGACCAACGAACCGTGTTATCCGTGTCAACGATAATTCGTGGCATTTAAGAAGAGGGGAAAAAGCAGACAAATCGGTTCGATACGCAAATGAAGTAAAAAAAAAAAGAGAGAGACGAACGTATTAAGAGAATTCCGCACAATAGCTACTTTCCTATCACCGAATATTGCAACGTAACGATTTGACCTGTTTTCACAGGTTTCCCCGGCGAAGCCTTCAATTTCGCGCGGCGTTGAACGCGTTAACCGAACCGACCGTCGAAAGTAAATGCAAGAACGGATTCCACTGATGCAGTAGTGGAGGTGTAATCAGGCAAGGGCGCCTCTTGGTCTACACGGGACATGATTAGCGGAAAATACGGCCTGCTGGCTTGCCGATATTAAATCGATAATCCACACACGCCGTGGAAAACATGAAGAAGGGCCGGTCAATTCTCCAGCCCCCCTTAACCGCAGAGCCACGTCTTGTCGCGAATCCACGACGCCATTTTCGCTCGACTTCGATTTTTTGCTATAGCGGAGGTCACCTCTCCGATGTCTGCAAAGTGTCAGACGCGAAGACTCGACAGCTTTTGCGATATAAATAATTGAAACACCTCGATGACTGAAAGTCGCGGAGCGGATCTGTTTTGTAAAGAGACGAGAAAGGGGAAAAAGAATTCCAACGTGACCCAGGAGAGCATATCGCGTTAATGTATTCCAAGAAAGGCGTTTCACGTGCGGACGGATCGGTTTGGGAAACGCTGACGCGATTCCTTCGACCAATGGCGTCTTGAATTCCAGGATGACTCGACCGAACCGGGGTCCGAGAGTCTCCCAGCCGATCGTAGGGAAATCGGGAACATGATGGAAGCGACATTACGACACTTTATTGACACACACACGCGCGCGGCCGAGGAGCGAGAGGTAATTTTGAAAATATGCACGACAAATACGACGCGTTTCCGATCGCGGCGTAGACTCTTGTCCTCGTTCGGCAGGTGTTGCGAAAGCTTTCTCGGGGAATCTGTCGCATTTCTCCGGCTGTGATTTCAGTGGCTCGAAATAATCTCCCGAGAATTTTAGTAATATGTACCGTCTACCGTCGAGCGCGATCCCCGCTCGCTTGCAACTCCAGTTTCTTGCGTTCAACGAAGAGAAATTTGACGATTCTAGCCGAGTACAATTACTTTAAAAGACGCGCGATTAAACCGCGATTATCTGTCGAGATTAATGGTACATTTAAGTGGGGGAATTTTTTTAATGCATAACAGGACCGATAATGCTCGAAAGCGAATAAAAAATTGAAAATTCGATTTCGTTTCTGAACGTTATCCGGCGAAGCTTGAATCGAAGAATTGAAAATGTACGCTCGATCGAAACCGTCGAATTTTATTTCCTCGTTATATCATCGAACTATCAATTATTTTTATATGTAATACCAGAATTTCGTAAGTTCTTCGGTTTCGTAGCTTGACTATTTCCTTGTCAAGTGAAATCGGCATCTGGCGAATGCCGTGTCGCGTGAAATCGCTGCTCGGCGCTCAAGAAAACAGCGATTCATAAAAATGAAGCGAAATCGAGTTCGAGTTATTTTTAATTGCGAGAGAAACATTTTTTTTCGTAGCTTCGTTCGCGGAGGAAAGTTGTCTAATATTATATCGGTCACCTAAACCGTACAACTTTCTTGTTATTGCTTTTTGCGTTTTCTTGAATTTTACACTAATCGAAAGATCGTCTTACCGGATTTGTTATCCATGAGGTCCCTATATCCGTGCACAAAATCCGCCACTATGGTCGTCATCTTGGCTGGGCTCTGAAACCAAACATTCTATTTTAACTACGTTCGGTCGACAAATTTCGCGGGAGCAAAAATTCGCGTTCGGAGCAATTTTGCGTTGAAAAAAAAAAGAAAATATGGAACGATTCGCGATAAAATTTAGGCGAGACGGCTGCCCTAGTTCCCACTTTTAATATTCTCTCCGCGACCAGCGCGGAGTGCTGACACAGAAAGAACAGTGATCTACGAGGTTCAAACAACTTCCCGATTCCACGAGAAATTCATTCGCTCGGAAGACTTTGACAAGTATCAAAGGAAACGCGATGCGTCGCGTACTTTCATCTGTGATCGCTCGAGAGATTATAGCAAGCGATCCACCCTAATACAGCGGGCAAAAAAATCAACTATCTCAACGTTCATCCCCCGTTCTAAGACGACGGCTCTTAAACTCGTGGCCCACAAACCCCCAAAATGGCCGCAGATTTTCATTTCCAGATCGCACACGATTTTTGTCACCGATTCTTACGACAAAGCACTTCCTTCGGTCGTTCGTGCGTAATGTTTCTTGTCTCGTCTACGACCTTGCTGTCCGTTATGTAAACACTATTTTGTAATGTGCTCGAATCAGTTCATCGTATTCTCTTGCCGACAATAGCGTCTGCCCGTGTGTGGAAAAATTTCTAATACTGTTCAGCGACGATTTGCATCCGACTCGGTAATTAATGGCGGATTATATAAATGTAGAAATGGCAAACATGCGTTTAATGTATGGTTGCGGACGGACGGGAAGTTTTTAATGACACCGTCGGTGGCCTGCGTTCAGCCAGAGTCGGGAGAACTATTTCAGATGCTAATTAAACGGCAAATTCTACGCGGTTCGAATCAAATAATATTTTTAGGGATAAATTAAAATTTTAATTTTAAACCATTGTAAGCTACGTAACATAAAATTTGCTTCGGTACTTATTTTCGTAACCTTGTTAAAATTTACAAACTTTATTCAAATTTATTTCCCTCGACGTCTTAATTTGAGAATTAATTTTTCTAGTATCATAATGGTAAATCCTGTCATCCATATATGGGTGACGTGGCAGTCAAAGTGTTGAGTGTACAAAGGCCTTGACTTTCTTTAACGTGAATTAATGAAAATTAAAATTACCTTTTTACCGAGTATTTAAACTGGTTACAAGACCATCCAAACCCTGGGCAAAATATTAGTCCCCGTACTTGGATTTGTTACTAGAATTTTTCCAAATTTCATGCTTGTTTCTTTTATAAGTCTCGTGGAATTTCAGAGTTAGTACATCGAGCGTTGTTGAAATACCGTGGATCGGTGTAACTACCGGTTACGTTACTTAACTTCCTTTTGTAAGAGGCTTTCATTTGGATTTCGCGAAGTGTAACTGCGACGAAAAAGCAGGACGATGACTGCGCGAATCGATTAATTACGCAAGGCGACTACGGTCGCGGCATTAACGCTTTCTGCACGTATGCATACGCGGATTTTCTACCGAACGAAAGAATCAGGTCACCGGTGTGCCCCGTTCGTTGTAAAAAAAAAAAAAATACCACGAAGTTCGCGGCCTTGGCGCGCATTGTTAGAATTCGGGCAACAGACCCAACACGGCCGAATTATGCGCAGCCCCGATGATAAAATACGTTTCCGCCGCTGAAAAGACAGGGACGAGACACGACGATTGAATTTCAAATCGACTCCGGTTCCGAATTAATTCCGTTCCACGGCCGAAATTTTCCCGCCCGCGAGGAAACTCGCTCGTGATCTTACGAAACGATCATAAACAAACCTCGAACGCGAAAGAATTCGATTGGCAAACTGGAATGCATCGCGTGACGCAATGCTGGAAACGACCAACGCGGTAAAATATTAGAAGAAGCACAGTTCGTTTGGAATACAAGGCGCTTTGAACTTCATGTTCATGTTTTATAAATGTCAATAAAGGAACGTAGATTTTAACACTGTACATAACTTTCACCGAATTTACCAATTTGTTGTGGAAAAAATGATGCCAGAAATTTATTGGAATTTTCGGTGCATTTTCTTAAACATGCACCAGATGCAAAGTTATGATTTTCTTCCCGAGCACCCCATATACTCGAAATTATCACTTCCTCTAAGCCAATCAAAAAACTTTTATAAATTGCAATAGTAGAAATTAGCAAAACAATTTTTATGCAAGAAAAAATCAAGGTCGAATCAATTTTTTTTAACAAAAATGTATAATTTCTGTGCATCACGTGATGCATCTTTGTATTCTCTTTAAAAAAATGTGAGAGGTCTTAGGTCGAGAATTGACTAGTTCGGAAGCTATTATTTTTGTTCCGAATTCCCATTTACGCGACACACTGTGCATCTGCGGGATGAAACAATTATACTCAAGGCTGGAAAATAATTTCCCTTGAACGAACAAAGAACGGAGACAAGCAGAGGATGCACGAGAGGGCGGTTATCGCCGAAAGTTTTATCGGAAAGAGCATCGCGGGGCGTAGCCAATCAATTACGCTCGTGATAAAAGCATGACGACCGCGTGCGGATCCCCGTGATCGAGAATCGGAATCGATAGGTTTAACAAACTATCGATCCGGGGTTTTCCCCGCGCGATACACGCCTGCACGACTAAAATTACTCGGTCAGTTAAAAATGCACGCACTAAATATAAAGACGCCGGAGACACGGACGCTTTTCTCTTCGTGTTATCGACTTTATCAGACCCCTTTCCGCCCCCGTGAACAGGCTGTGTCGTTGTATCGTTTACGGTCGCGTTATAAACAACGGGGGCTGGAAATTGCTACGTTATTATTGATACCCTCTCGAAACTAAAAAGAAGTTCTTACGACCACGTCGTGAAATAAAATCCACGTTACAGGACGCGGAATTTTTTATCGAAAACCCTCGGTATCGTTCGCTCGCGAACGAGCGTTTCAAATTTAATTCAAATTAATTTCTTTCGTTTTGAATAGCAACTCGGTCGAAAAGGATGTTACCAACCGTCAACATACTCCGACGAATGTTACTCAACTGTGGACAGTTAGAAAATATTGGAGGAGAAAAATGTAAACATCTCGTCGAAAGTGTGCCAAGACGTGTTAAAACTGTAATGAAAGCCAAACGGGGCTACATTAAACGTCCTCCCGTAACAGTCTCGTCTTCGTAATTTGTTAAACGAAACACAAACTCTGTATGTTTCTTTTCTGTATTCCAATGCATGCATTACGAAATATTATTATCGGAGAATTCGATTTTTAAAAATTAAAATACACTTGAAATTCGGTGAAACGTTTCGTGCGTGCATCCTTCGTTAAAATTTTCGTTAAATATCTTATCGTCCGCGAAGTGCAAATGACCCGCAATGTTTCTCCACCGATTTCTACGTGGTATTGTGATAAAAGTGTGTACTGACCTTTGGTTCACTGTTCTCATCGATATAAAAGCAAATTTCGTACCGAGAAGGACCGAAAACAAGTCGAAGCGTTTCGACTAGCAAACTATGCACGATTATGCTATAATTAGCTACATTGTTCGATAAAAATGTTTTGAACACAGCTGTTTTTCGCGTCGATCGATTGCAGTAATCGCCGCAGCGACAAGTGGATCGCGGTGCAGAAAATATTAACGATACGTACGGACGTCGCAGAAAATATTGAAGAAAAGTTCGCCATTTGCGTTTCGATACCGCTAAAATTATGACGTCCAAACTACCGGTTTTATCAGCGACGGGTTTTTTAAATTGCCCCTGGCGTCTTTCGCGGGGACAATTTCGTTCGAAAACGTTTGAGATTCCGTCGATAATACGAGCACAGCATCCCTCTGCTGGGGATCAACGAACTTTTCGCGAAGTTAAACGGAAACGATTCGCTGCTAACTTCCACGACGATTATAAATTCTATTACAAATGGTCGTCGCGCTTTCAGCATGCTGTTGCAAGGAACATCCGTCGATTTTGATGAAACTTTCCAGGCTCACGGGCCAAGCAAAGGACACGTATTTTTCTCGACCAACTCGAGTTTAAAGGAAACTCTCAAGTTTCAACCTTTCGACATTGTCTTGAAAATTACAAAGAGATACGGGATAACTGTGAAGAGGGAAAGGGGAAATCGTGACGTTTCATTCAACTTTCGAACCTGCAAAGTGGCATCGAAATCGTGGGAGGATCCATCGCGCCTGCACGAAAGAGGCAACAATTGACAAAAAGCGCGATTAGCATAATTAAGAGCCTTTTCCCTTCGTACGCGTAATGTTTGTTCGGACAACACGTACCCTTTCGTTTATTCTCTCTGTAACACAACGTTTTCCTCCGACGACGACGCGCGACATTGCGAAATCAAAATTCTTGCGCCTCCGAGCGCTTTCGTAAACCGTTGAAAAAGATCCAGGACTCCGAAAACGGCGTAGATCGGCAGGGAACGGAGAAAGTAAATGGCTTTGCAATACTCGACGTTAAATAATACGAAACGTACCATAAATTCGACGCATCGAAAAGTGAAAATCACACGTTGGAAGACACCGGGTTGGTCCAATTAGGGGTACGCTGAACGATCGATAGAATTTGAAAACAATAAAACGCTTCGAGCGGCGTCGAAGTCTGCAATTACCGTCGTTTTCGATTAGGTGGCCTCTTCCCCGGAGTAAAACCGGATTCCGGCCGCTGGTAGTTCGATTATTAAATCGCGTGAATTTCTCTTTCTTCCTCCGTCGATCGCGGATGTCGCGCAAGGACGTCGATCCGTGGACATTTCGATGGGGAAAAAGAGTCGTCGGGACCCGAGAAACGGTCGTAGAAAAAGAGACGAACAGCGACGGTGTCGAGAAAGTTACTAAACACGTGGTTACGTCGTGTCGAGATCGATTACAACCAGACAGCTAAAGTAACTTAACGTCGGATCGAGAACTATGGGGGTCCTTGCGATACGTTCGAACGCGAATTCCTCGGCTAGCATCTCATTTACCTTTCTTTCAACGCGCATGCATCAAACGGAAGAGATTGAACGCTAAACTTCGGTATTATTTGTTCACCAAC